AAAATGTTATACTTCCCTACATATTTTACTACCGTAATTGAAAAACAATGTACCAACTATACTTTCATTTATTCATATAAAAAATTGTTTATAATTTACTTTAAGAAAGAGAGAAATTTAAGATATAAAAATAATAAAAGCAATTGTGCAATTGGGTATAAAAAATATATTACTTTACTGCAAATTTAATGCAAACACATTATGTTTTTGCACTTTTTATTGTGTAAATGTTATGTATTATGCACGTTTGCAAATAAAACATCTTGATGCTGACATACCTATATACATTTTTATATTTTTATTATATATTTACGAAAGTGTATTTGTTTATTTGTCTTTCAGCAACGAAGGAACAGATCGACGTGATTTTTTGCATATATAGTATAGTATATTTTTTGCTTGTTTTGTGCAGAAGTTATATAATATACATTTGGTAGGCATATAAATATAATGAAAATAAAATATTTAGAGAATTTTTGTGTTTACAAATATACCAGGTAAATGATAAAAAAATATTTAGTTTCAGCTAGTATTTGCCTTAAACTATAAATCTTTGCTGTCAGGTTTTATTTTTCAAAATTATTATTATTTTAATAACACTATGTAATCTTATAAATACGAGGTGTGTTCAGAAAATAACGGGAATTGTTAAATTTCGCGGGTTTGGAGGGTCCGGTTGCCATAAAATTTTCTTTATTTTGTTGGTATGTATGCCCCCCAAGTACGATAAACTTTAGTTGTTTTCATTGTTTACTTTGTCTGTGGCAGCCGCTAACATTAGATGTGTTTTATGAGCTCGGCGATTTTTCGTTCGTTAAAAGAAATGGATCAAAGAATTTGTATGTTAAATGTTAAATGTTAAATGTTAACAAAGGCCTATAGTGAGTTTGCTTTAAATAAAACAAGAGTTTACAAGTGGTATAAGAGTTTCCAAGATGGCCGTGAAGACATTAACAAGCGATAAAATCATGGAAAAAGTGGAAGAAATGGTTATAAACCAACAGAGAAGTCGCTGATGATGTTGGTATATCGATTGGCTCATCCCATGAAATTTTTTCGAATGTTTTGGGTATGAAACGCGTGGCAGCAAAATTTGTTCTAAAATTGTCAAATTTTGAACAAAATTTTTGGCCAAAAACAATACTGTAATGATGCCCCAGCCTCCATATTCGCCAGACATGCCTCTGTCTGACTTTTTCCTATTCCAAAAAATAAAGAGAACCTTAAAGGGCCGTCGTTTTGCAAGCATAGATGACATTAAAAGCGCATCGCTGAAAGAGCTAAAGGCTATCCCAAATATCGAGTTTTAGAAGTGTTTCGAGTAGTGGAAGAAGAGCTGGTAAATGTGCATAATATCCAATGGGGACTATTTTGAAGGCGACAACATTAATGTAGACGAATAAATAAATATTTGTTTCAAAAAACGAAAATTCCCGATATTTTCTCAACACCTCGTACACATTGACAAGTTATGGCTTTATGGCGTTTTAGTCGTGGGCTGAAGTTAGCAACAGGTTTTTATTCAAGGGTTGAAGTTAGTTATAAGTTAGTTGAGAGTTGTCAAATAAAATAAAATGCCCTTCTTATATACAAAAGTATAAAATAGTATGGATAACTATTTGAAAAGTTTATATGCAAGTTTGTACTGACCTTTTGATTTAAACGGTTGTTTGTACATTTTCAAGGAATACATTTTGATTTACACCTACAAATTTGAAGTTTTCACTGGCGCGCCGGTAATACAGATTCCCAAGTTATAAATTGTTACGCGAGTTACTCTATTTTTTTTGTCGCCGTATACAAATATTTAAATCATTTTTAGACAATAATAAGTATTTGGCTTAGAAAAAGTATAAATTGCAACTCGTTTAAAAACTTGTCTACGTTTATCAAACTTGATACATAATATTCTATTACGCAACACACCTGGAAAGTGCAATATTAAAATCACTTTATATATTTTATATTTTTATTCAGTTATAAAAATCAATTTGGTCAAGGCCAAAAAAATAAATAAATTTACATAAACCTATTTTAACTGAACAGCAATTTTACCATTAATCATTTAACTTATTTCTTATACTATATATAATATACATTAAATGTATATTTAAATAGTAAAGAATAAATTGTAATAAATTAAAAAACATGTTTTTTATTTGATCGAAAGGTTTACAGATTTCATCATAAGTAATATTTAAAATTGAACATATTTTATCACATTAAAATGTTTTGTTTTAAAAAAGTAATCCTAAGATATTCCATCATATCTAAATGTCATAAGATTTTTTAAATAATTTTACTACACTATTCCCAAAATTAATGCCAGTTAATGTATAAATTTTACTATTATGGGAAATCCTAACCACAAAATGGAAAAGGTACCCTGGAAATTTGGTATTGTAAAAGTAGGTAACTGTTACATCAAACGCCATTTTTTTTGTCTTATAAATATATATTTCTAATAAAAAAATAAGATAATGTTGTTTTGATTACAAATGAAACACTTTTCATGAAAACTTAATTTGGTATTTTAATTTACTTTTCCGGTAATTCAACCTAATTGCTTATTGTTGTTATTTTTGAAAAAGTAAGGCTCTACTGTATTATTTACAAATATATTTAATTTGTTTGTTTTTATCGCATAAGTTATAGTTGTTCCAGTTGTTAGCAGATAATTCATTCAGTTCATTTTCATTTTCTTAAGAGCTTCTCTGATCATACATTTAACACTCAATTTAATCTTAATAAAAATTATTTTACCATTATTATATTGTTGGGCGAAAGAAACTCTCAAATTAATACGTTGATGAAGTTAAACATCCTTTAAATGTAACTAAAATCCATGCTCGTTAGTGGAAGAGTATGTCAATATACTCAAGGTCATTAGAATTTAAATGGAAGAAGAAGTCTCGTGCCCATGACACGTTCTTCCCTTAACAATATAACACCAACCTGTGCACATAACAACGTCATCCACTGAAAAAGCTTTACTCAAAGGGCTAGCGAAAAGGAAAAACATGCTATGTTTAAAGAATGCGAATGTGGGACCACTGGGTAATGGTTTATATGCTTTTTAAAACTTTTTAAGATAAAACGTATTTTAATTTTAGAAATAAGGTATCCTGGGTCACCTTCAAAAATAGAGAGGTTTTGCTGCACCCTGTCTTAAGATACCCATTATAATTTTATCACAACACATTATTACATGCTCCCTTTCAAAAATATTTTTTTATTATTGACAAATCAATGCAATTACTTAGGTACTGTTAACAACTTATAAACTATCCAGCCTACTGTAACAGGTCTTCCCATAATAGAAAAACATATGTTGACAACCCCGATAATATAAAATGGTTTAAATACATGATTGAATAGTATGTTCTGTAACAAGTTTGGATAACAGCATATTCCGCTCGAGTGAAGAGTTTGTCACACGAGCCGAAGGCGAGTTTGACGGTTTCACGAGAGCGGAATATGCAATAGCAAACGTGTTTCAGACTATACTTTTTCTACGTTTTCAAAAAATACCATAGAAAAGTGAGGTTGGATCGGTATAAAATTTGTTAGATAATAAAAACAGAGATGTCGCCACGAGTGTTTATTCTGTCATCCGATGATAGAATATTTGAGTACATTAGATGCAAAACTCGGTTTTTGCACATTTAAAAAAAATATATATTTTATCTTATTTATGTTCATAACTGCACTGCCCACAGCATAACTAAGTAAACCAGATGCATAAGTTAATATTTGTAGAATAAAATACATTTATAAACTTACCGCAGCTGCAAAACTGGGTATTTGTCGGATGCAAAACTCGGTATTTGACCAATCACCAATCACGTCGCTAGTATACGCATTAACTGACGGCATAACAATCACCTGATTAATTGTTATTTTTTTGGTATTTGCACTTTTCACTTGCAAAACTTGGTCTTTGAACGAGGAAGATACAAAACTATGTTTTTAAATCTTTTGGTTTCAATTATTTACTAAACTACTTAATTTTAAAGGACTTTTTTTACTTTTTTGAATAAGAAATGATGCAAAAGCACGTCTATACGATTTTTGTATTTTTTTTTTCAAATATGACCTTATGAGCGGTTTTTCGTGTTTTTCTTATAATCACTTATCCTGCAAATACAGAGTTGTGCATCTAATGTACTCATTTCATTCTGTAACTCTTTACGAATATATGTCATTCCATAGATAAAAGTGATATTAGAACGGTCAAATTCCGTAATAGGAGTAAAAATAATTTTTGACACTGTAATACGTTTTTGATTGAAATCTTAATACAATGTAATGTTCTTAGTATAAGGGTTTAGCATTCTAACTACTACACATTTTAAATAATTTATTTTTTTCATGACACTCAGTATTATTTTAAATACACATAAACAAGCTGTGACTTTATGGCATTTTAGTCACGGGTTGAAGTTAGTTAAAAGTTTTGATTCACGGGCTAAAGTTAGCTTTAAGTTAGTTGACATTTATCAAATGTCATACAATCGTCAAAATAAACTGGGCTACTTGTGAAATAATAGTACATGTATTATTTTATTACCTCAATACAAAAATACAAAATTATTAATATTTGAAAGGTTTATATGTACGTTTGTACTAACCCTTTGATTTCGCTGGAAATGCAGTAGTACTTTCCCATAAAGCATTAAATATTTCGGTTAGAGTACCCATAACACATCCTCTTTACTTTCACTGTAAAGACATAAATTTCGATGTTTAAATTTAACAACCCTTCCAAAAGCCGGTAAAACAGATTCACAGGTTACTCTATTTTTGTATAGATGTCGGTGTATACAAATATTTAAATTAGTTAGTACTAAATTTTTTTTTATACCCAACAAAATTTGTCGTAGAATAAGTATAGTATGCAACTTTTATAGACACTTATTTTATTTAACACTCGCTCGCACGCTAGCTCGTGCCTTCGTTCATTTTAAAACTTTATTATTTCATTATTTTTTTATTTTTAGTCTTGTGACGCCCTTCTATCAGACCCAGAAACCAAAGATTTTCTTTACTCCAGGCAAAAATTTGATCTCCTAATACTGGACGGAGCATTTCCAGAATGTGCATTAGGCTTTGTACACCATTACAAAGTGCCTTTTATGTATATTAACACTGTGGGTTTCTATGTGGGGTCTTTGAACATAGCTGGAAATCCAACTCCATATTCCATTACTCCGTTTTTGAATAAGCCTTATACCGATAATATGAATTTGATTCAAAAAACGATTAATGCCTTTTGGCATACAGGTTATTATTAAATTTTATATGTTATGAGTTCTTATTATTAAAATAATTTTTATTATTTCAGCCGGTGTGGCTATGCATTCAGTCATGATCCGTTATTGGATGCAGGATGTTTTAGTGAAGCATTTTGGTGAAAATGTTCCTTCAATATATGATATGTCGAAAAATGTGAGCTTTATTTTACAAAATGCACATGCTACAGTGACTTATCCAAGGTCATACTTACCGAATGTAGCTGAAATTGCTTGTATACATTGCAGAAAAGCCAAAGCGTTGCCTCAGGTAAGTTATCGATGAATATTAAGGGTTAATTTCAATTTTGCTGAGCGTTTTGGTTTCTAAGAAATAATTGATGAATTATTCAACATAATATTTCCATTAAGTAAGGGGTCGATAACGTAAATCTGGGAGATTAAATAAATTTAAAATATGAATTTTTTAATAAAGGTTATTAAATTTTAATGAAACACCAACATCATTAAGGTAACTATGTAGTTCTTTAATGCAAAAAATATTTTTACCACTACTAACTACAATCGACCCCAAAATTAAAAACCTTATTTTTTTAAATTTGCATAAACGGAGTTCTAAAAAAATCAATTTTAGCTTTAAAATTTCCAGAAAATTTCGCAAAGATTTTAAAATAGGACGTAATTTTCTTGTAAAATTTTGTTTAACAACGATAATTCTTAATATAAAATAGAAATTATTGTTCGTACTTTAACCAAAGAAATTGTAATGTATTCATTAAATGTCAGTATAGCCAAGTCTTTTGTTGTACATGTATATTAAATATGTTCATTGAGTGTAATATTAATTATCTTCTCCAATCGACATATACATATAATATACATGGATTAACTTCCCACGCTTGCCTTACTAAAATGTTTCAATTTGTGTTTTTTTTGTACACATAGTAATTAAACAACTGTTAATGTAGTTTTTAATATAAATTTATACATTTTATATTAAGTTATTTTTGATTTGAAAACATGTGCACTTATACGAGGAAATATGAAAATACAGACGATTGATTAAAAACCCAAAGAAGGACACTTAAAAACAAAATTTTGTTTACAAATAGAAATAAAAAAGTTTTTATTCTAATATATGCTATATTGATCGGGTGTAGTGGGTTAATAGCCTTAAGGCATCATTAAAAAGTTTTTTAACGAACCTACTTATATTCGTCGTAATTTCAGGATATCGAAGAGTTTATTAGCGAATCAGGAGATGCTGGCTTTATTTATTTCAGTATGGGTTCTTCAGTAAAAGCGGCCAATATGCCTGAATACTTGCGAAGGATGCTTTTTAAAGTTTTCAAGCAGTTGCCGCAAAGGGTCTTGTGGAAATATGAATCCGACAAGGATATGGCCGATTTACCACCAAACGTTATGCTTGGCAAATGGTTACCTCAACAGGATATTTTAGGTAAAACTTACTAATTAAGGTATTATCTACATTTGAAGAGTGTCTTAAAAATTTAATATATGATTTTGTGTGCCATCAGACACATGAATACGAATTTTTAATTTAATCGATGGAAAAGCTGCGAATGACACTTTCTGCACAAGTGTTATTTTCCATAGATTCTTTCAAAAATTCGTTTTTAAACTCCAGCAACAAAAGAGCACGATGATGGCTTAGGAATTGATTCAAATTTTGTGCTGCCAACTTTAGAATTAAATGTTTCAAATGGAAATACTACCTTAATTAACACAGTAAATTTAATTTAAAAAAATATTGCAGGAAAAGTTCAGTTAATTACTATTAAGTACTTTGACATCTAACAAATTCTGCATAGGATCGATTTTGAATATTTTATATCTGACGCGTCATGACGGTCAAAAAAGGTGGAATGTCAAGTTCCCATATTTCTCCCTCGGGCGCTGTCCCCCATTTTCTTTAGACAAATTTTGGTCGAGACGAAAAGTATGGGGCTTTTAATTTCCAACATGTTTGTTCTAAAAGTTAACAACGCCAAAGTTATCGAAAATTCAAATTGTGTTTCGATAAAGGAAGAAAAGCGCCAGAGGGGAATACAAAACTTTGTTGTTCCACCTTTTAGACAGATTCTATCTATACTGTTCTATAATTAATGCGTAATAGTTGTATTATCTAGGTAACTTTGTTGTTTTTATGCATTATTTTTATTGTAATATTAAAAGCAGGTAAACATTCGTCATGAGCAACAGCTAGGAAAGCTACTTCTCCTAAGTAGCCTTGTCCTGTCTTTAAATATTTACTGCGTATAATAAAATGGCTGCTTTCTATGCAATACAGTTTGTTTTTTTAATTTCTTTTGTTAGTGGTCTAAATAAAGGATATTATTAATATAATTGTCCAGCTCAAATTTATTTGATATTATTTTGGTATTTTTTTAAAAATATCATATATATTTTTTCTACTCCAATTGCCTAACAACGTGAATAATGAGTTGAATATTCACGTTATTTGAAATAATTGGGTTTTAAATTGGGGAAAAGTTAGGTTAATAGATGTCAGATTTTATTATATATACGAGGGGCGACTATAATGATCTTTAAAATCGGAAAAAACTGAGGTTATAATAAATTTTGTTATCAATGAAAATTACTTAATTGGAGTAGAAAAAGCATAGTATTATAGTTGAAATAATGCGCATTCTTTTCTCGGATGATATACGTCACTCGCCTGACGGCTCGAGATGCCAACCTCATCCTTGTGAATTATTATTCACAAGGATGAGGTTGCAGTATATCTCGTATAATAATATACTATTATTATTTTACCAAATCCAACAAAATATTTAAAACAATATTCAGTTTTTTTTCATCCCACCACACCTACCTCGGGGATATATAACGATTTCCCAAATTTTACATATTTTTTTGGTTAAAATTGTGGTTGTTTAAATCTAGCGCATCAGCCTATAGAGTAAGCGCAAAAGTTTTACAAAATTTGTATTTCTTAAATTGTTTTAATACAAAAGATGTGCTATGGATTTCTTTTAGAAATGGTCAACAAAAAAAGTGTCTGAGCTAGAAACGAAACCCATCATTTTTAATCACTGATCACAAATCTATTATTATTGTGTGTCCATAGTTTGTAGATACATTTTTATGAATTTTAATAAACAATTGATTGTTTTTAATTACATGATTTTTTAAATTAAAAAAAGGCAAACTATACTTCTTGCCTATAATTAATTCTAAAAAATTACGTCATTACAAAAAAATAATTTGAGTTGATGTTAAAACTAGAGGCAACACGATAGATAAAACGTCCTTCAGATTCGTGATAAGCGGGTAAAAATCCATTGGAAATAATGGGCATCGTTTTTAGTTCAAAAAACATTTTGGTGGTACTTTTATGTTAACTTCTTGTCTGTATTAAAAGAGTAAAATTTCCTTCTTAAAAACGTACATATGATTTGATTGTATTTTTTCTACTCTCACCTTTCCATCACACTTAGTGATCTTTTAAATACACATTGACAAACTGTGACTCTGGCGTTTTAGTCACGGTCTGAAGCAACAGGTTTTTAGTCAAGGTCTAAAGCTAGCTTTAAGTTAGTTGACAGTTAATTTAAAAGTTTTAAATAGGTTATCAATGCCAATATTTAAAAAGTTTAAATGCAGGTTTGTACTGTAAACTAGATTTAACTGATAAATCACAATTTCGGTTGGAGACTCCACTGTGAAGTGCCCAAAAAATATTTTCTTCACTTTTACTGTCGGATTTATACTACATTTTTACTGCAGGTGATACCTACATATTCTCAGGTTGAAAATTCTTACGCGAATGCTTATATAGAGAAATTGAATTTAAATCATTTTTAGATAATATCAAGTATTTGTCGTAGAAAAAGTATAGTACTCAACTCGTTTATAAACTTTTCTAGACAATCATTTAATTAATCACTCGCTCGCAAGCTACTTGTGCCTAATGTCGTTTTTTTAAATTTAAATAAAAAAGGTAATCCGTAAATTTTTCTTCCCCAATGTCATATACATCTGCATTCAATTAATTTTAAAATATTTATTATATATTTAGTTTTAAAATCCATTTAAAAAATATGGCCAAGCCTAAGTACAAAAAAAAACAGATTGATTAGTTAACATTTGGGTATTAAACTTCTAAACGATTAGGAAAAAACACAATATATTGGTGTTACACAACTATATTAAACAAAAACTAATTAAAATTAAAAAAAACTTGTTGGCGCACCAAAAAATACAAATTTATTAACTCTGCCATTCTAAAAATCTCCTTGCATATTAAAAGAAAGGATAATTTTATGTTTAAACACGTATTAAATTATATTGTTTACCTTTCTCTAACAGGGTGTAGCAAATGAACTTTCCGTTTTAAAATATTAATATTTTATTTGTTGAAAGCGTGTCCTATCACTAAAAAACATAAGTGCCCCTGAGGAAGTAACCATAAAGGTTTTGAAGCGGATGTCACTTAATTACTTCTAAATTTTCTTACCAGAATATTGCATAAAAAATATAAATCTACTCTGTAATATTGACCTTCTTCAAATATCAATTCAAAACCTTATTAACCCGTTACTACTTTCCTGAGGTCTAAAATGACATCACTATTCAATCTTCTGTTGCTTTCCAAAAAGTTTTGGCCGACACTCAATATTTTTTTACTGCTGCCTTTGATTTGGTTACTTTTGATCCCACGATAGTAGCTTCATCAGTTAAAGTGGACGACAGTTGTTGCAAGTTGTTACCTGATTAGTTAAATTTAAATATTTCAAATATTTTTTATAATTATCACTTCTTTTGTTCTTACAGGTCACCCAAAGCTTAGAGCTTTTGTAACGCACGGCGGTCTCTTAAGCATGTTCGAAACGGTGTACCATGGTGTGCCGGTGGTCACTATGCCAGTATTTTGTGACCACGATTCGAACGCTGCCAAAGCCGAAGTCGATGGTTACGCCATAAAATTAGACCTAGCAGCCTTAAACGCAGAGTATTTACTGTGGGCCATTAAAAACATTATCTACGACAGAAAGTATCGAAAAGAAGTCAAAAAACGGCAATATCTTTTGTTGGATCAAAAGGAAACACCATTACGAAGAGCCGTGTATTGGACCGAGTACGTGATAAGGCATAAAGGTGCTAAGCACTTCCAGTCTCCAGCGAGAAATTTAAGTTTTGTGCAATATTACTGTATAGACAGTTTGGCGCTTTTGTTAGTAGCCTTAGCTTTAATATGGTATTTTTTTAAAGTATCCTTTAAGTTATTCGTTAGGTTTGTAACAGGCAATATTAGTATAAGTAAATTTAGAAAAACGATAAAAGTCGAGTAGGTTTTGTGTGTGTGTTTTTGTACAGGGTTTATAATTATGTGTGTTTGTGTGTAAATAAAGTAATAAATCAGTAACATGCTTGTTTTAATAAAGTAGTTTTAAGCAATAAATTAAATTCACTCGACAGTTTGCTTAGGCTGTAAAATGTGAGCGTTGTAAGTCGTTGCTAAAAGACATGCATTTGATTTATATGAAACCGCAGGATAATAGTTTAGGAATCCAAACTCAAAGGAATGAATCGCCAAAAAAAATTTACTCCGAACAAGAAGATCATTTCTGAAACAGACCAATTATAATTATAAAAGTCGGACGGCTAGAAAATACGTAAATTCGCTGGCCGAAGTGTATAGTTATTAACAAAAAAAGAATTTTGTGCCGAATCTTATCTTATCTCTGAATAAACAGATTTCTACTTACGAAGTCGTTAAAGAATGAAACTGTTATATAAAGACGATGGAAACTTTTCAGTTAAAACTTAAAACCAAGAAACTTGTCGATTTTTATTCTCATGAATTATAATTTGATTTACTTTACCGAATTGGTGCATCTTTTTAGAATCAATATGAGAGAAAAGATCCTGTAATAATTTATGTATTTAATAAATACTATTTATACAATATATTGTACCTGATATGTCTGTTAATAGCTTTAAACTTGTACTTGATAAACTTCAATTCAAAATCAAACCTATTTAATGAATTTATAAACTTTATTTATTATAAACAATTTAACAATATCCTGAATAAAAATAACAGAATGTTGGATTTAGTTGGCAGTAAGGTAAATGAAATATTTATTACTCATGATGTTCATTAGTCTTTTCCAAATTTTACTGCAAAAGCAAAGACCTAAAATTATAAAAGGGTTAATTTTATTCAATTGTACAATGACTTCTCACAGGTAAACTGGGATTTTTTAAATAATAAAACAGAAATTTACAAAGCATTTAAAAAATTCTATAAAAAATAAATTAACTTAAAACACGTTCCTACATATAAAATATCAAAACAAACTTACTTACCCAACTTGGTACAATTAAAATTAAAGAAATGCTAAATTTAAAAACCATTATCACAAGTTATATAAAAAAAATCTGAAATTAACTACCAAAATTTTAAAAATACGCGTCCAAAATTGGTTTAGCTTATGAGCAATACATATTAGATGTTCAAAATTCTGTAATATCAGATCCTGATAAGTTCAGAACTACTTAAGAACTAAAAAAGGGACGACCAGGTACACATCAATGACGCTTAGTTAGATAATCCTGAACAAATATTGGAGACATTTAAAGACTACTTTAGTGGAGTGTATACAGATCAAACTGATAATTACAGTGATTTAGTTTTTAAATGCTTCTCATTTAAACAAAAGTATAATTAATGAAAAAGACAATGATGTCAATTAATAAATTAGCAAACAATAAACATGGGGTGAAGATTAAATACCTAGCTACCTAGTAAAATACAATAAACACATATTCAATAAAGCACTCCTAAAATTATTTAACCTACCTATCTCTGAATAGTTTAACTTTCACAGACATTTGGAAAACTGCGCGTATATGTCCGATTTTGAAAAAGGGAGACCCAAGTCAAATCATCAACTTTACGCCAACTGCTATTCTAAATATTTTTTAAAGGTTTTTGAGATGTTAGGTTGTAAAGTTTTTCAGAATTTATAGCCATTTTTTTTATTCAAACGATACATTAAACTACAATTTTTAAAAGTAGAAAGTGAGGCTACATAAAACTACAATTATTAAAAGTAAAAAGTAGAGGTTATGAAAGTCTGATAAGTCTTGAATTTATAATGCACTCAACATTTTATCTCCAATCGGTCTTAAATCAAAGAGTAAAACATTTTTTAATATAAAAAATCGCATACGAATTAACAGCTTTTCCTTATTGATAAGCGTCGACTAATGAATAATGTTCACAGCACAACGTCTATTATGTAACTCTGAACGTTGCCTCGCTGATTTTAGAGTGGTATAATCGTCGCCTAAAATTAAGGCATACTCTTATTTATTTAATGAAAAATAAAAAGTAAGGTTGGATAGATCTGACAGATATCGAATGTTATGATTGGTCAAACGCGGTAAATAATTAATTACTTTGTCTGCCTAGTTCACAATTAATTACTTAAGTATCAAGTGTTGACAAAAATAAAGTTTAATTCATAGACCGATTAAAGATAAACATTGTGCACTAATTTTTTTTTATTATTAAAAAATAGCATTAACCATATATATATATATATATATATATATATATATATAACCTATAGGTTATTAGCTATGGTACAGTTTGGTGTAAATTATATTTTAGAGCAAAGGTTACAATATTTTATAAAATTAAGTATGATTTTGGGATTGTCCCTCAGGCTGTTATGTGTAAGTCCATGGAGTTGACGTTGAGCATCGAATGACGAAGGCACTCGTGTAGGATATGGGTGACGGAGAGTGGGCTGTCACATGTAATGCATCTTGGTGGCGGTTGTTTGTCCATTAAGTATCCATGTGATAGTCTAGTGTCACACTAAGTGTGGCCAATTCTTAAACGTGCTATTATTACTGGTTCTCTGCGGTGGTCAGGTAGTGTCCAGGTTTTTGGTATAAATGGAAATAATTGTTATAACTTGTTGGATGTGTTTGTTTCCCATTTTTGTTGCCAGCAGGTCTACATTAGTTGTTTGTTCAGAGGTTTCGTATCTGAAGAGGAAAGTAGGTCATCACCTATGTTGTCTTGAACTGGGTTTTGTAGGGCTGAGTTAGCAAGTGCGTCTGATTTTTCATTTCCGGTGATGCCTACGTGTGATGGTACCCAAATAAAGTGTACTTTGATCTTGGTTAAGTTAAGTGTTTTTAGGATGTTCTTTATATTGAGAAGCGTGGGGTGTTGTGGGTACATTTGTTTTAATGCATAGATAGAACTTAATGAGTCAGTGATGATGACTGTGTTAGAATTTACCATCGTAAGAGCTTTGAATATAGCATAGATTTTAGCAGAAAAAATACTACAGTTTTTGTTAAAAAGGTACGAATGCTAAAACAAGTTTGAATAAATTGCTGCCGATGTGCCGTTTGCTTGTTTGGATGCATCAGTATACATGAAGACATGGTTTGTAAAATTCTATAGGATGGCTGAAAGTTCTGATTTGATGGTTGCCGGTGTATTACATTTTGACACTTAAATTTTACTTATTTTAGACCTGGCTATTTCTTGCTGCTTGTTGTCTCTGTGTGTTTAACATAACAACATTGTAACAATATGAACAAAATTTTCTTTTAGTAGATACTAACTGGAAAACGTTAACAAATACTGGGCATTGTATAAAACAGGTACATACGAGTATAAGTTAAAAATCTTTAATATTGCCTAATATTTGTTTATCTCATGGCCTGAAAATTCTCTTTTTAAATTGGTTATGCTGCCTATTTCGATATTTTCCTTCTCGGTGCTTTTGTTGCTATACGAGGTTTGAGTTGTTTTTTTGAGTTTATTGATTTCAAAACTTCTTTTGCTTTTAAAATGTATATAAGCAGCTGTCACCATTAAACCGAATCCAACAATTGCTCCAGGAAGCCTTACAACATTCTTAAATATTATTAAACGAAATATGTTCGCTATTTTTTCATACCAGTGGTCTTTAAGTTCAACACCCTGAAAGAAAAATAAACATCATGTTAGTTTTTCAAACAAATTTTTATATTTGTTTAATTTCCACATATTTCAACGGGGCCCATGTTAGACAGTAAAATTTTATTCGTGTTGATTTTGTCTTTGGATTATTTTAATTCTGGTTATTATTTGCAAGTTGTATTCTTACGAAGAGACGAGTGTAGAAAGTTAAGTGTAGTAAAGTTTTGCTTAAGTTTTGGTCACTATACCTCCATAATAATAATAATAATAATAATAATAATAATATTAATAATAATAATAATAATAATAATAATAATAATAATAATAATAATAATAATAATAATAATAATAATAATAATAATAATAATAATAATAATGGTATCTAGGACTTGGTCCAGCACAATAAACAGCTGTACTTCCAGAAGTAACGTAATCACCACGTGTTTGTATATTATAGAACCGTTTTTACCATGTAGGTAGGTAGGGATTTTGGCAATACACTTTTACAGTTCCAAGTATAAGTGGGCCGATACGTTTCACACCTAAAAATTCTACTTGGTATTTAGTTATTTTTCTCAAATTCCGCTAGAGTGAAAATACCTATTAAAAAAAAACACAAATATAACTAACTGCAATAAATCTAATAATTATTTTTACTTTCCACCGTGTTTCTTCTTAAATAATACCAAAACGTTTTATTTTAATGTTTTGTGCACAAACGTATAAAAAATTGTTTCCCATACAAACCATTGTCATAGCAACTTGGTAGTTTATTTTTTATTTTACACTTATTAATTCAGTACCTATTACATTTTACTATAATGCATGAGTGCAATTTTCGTTATTATTTATACGTTGTACATATCAGGTTAATACGTTTTTGCATAATAAAAATATCAATTTATTTAAAAGTTTATTGCCCTAAATAATTCAAAATAAAGTAACATACAATATTTTAGGGATTTGCATTTTTTTTATCTTTTTATGTATTATTTAGTTTGTGAAAATTCGTAGTAAAATAGATATTAAAAGTTACATACAGAGTGTTTTACCATTAGGAACTTACAAATGAAAATAAAAGGGCCATACATATTTTTTGAAAAATTATCTAAAGGTTTTAACATAAAAAATATGTTGTCCGTTATCAATATTTTTTATTAACCTTCTTTAAAAGTATTTAAATACTTATACTCTACAGTAAAAATGTTTTAAGTTCCAAAGAATTTCAAATGCTTTAGAGTTATATTTAATAACAAAAAAAATTGTTGTGTTTAGTTGCTTTAACGAGGCAGCAAACTGGCATTCCCAGAGGGGTTAAGCAATTATGGTTTTCTTGGTAGTAAAACACCCTGCATATTTATTCATAATTTAAGTGGAAAACACCTCCAACTGTTTTACGGTAAAGCATGTGCAAAGGATTTAATTTGAAA